GACAGCCTCTTTAATCACTATACATACTGCCTCTCATGGGTAAGACAGTGGTAATAATACACCTAAGCTACCATACCTCCCAAGGCTGTTGTAGGAAAAGCACCTTGTAGCCATTAAAACATTAGAGAAATGGAAGTCATGTAAATGGCAGACATGGATGACCTTCCTATACCACTCAAATCACAGCTTTAGCCATGGAGAGAGATACAAAGAGAAATAAGACTTTTTGTTTTTTTGTTGTTCAACCATTTTAGTTGTGTCTGACTCTTCGTGACCCCATTTGGGGTTTTCTTGGCAAAGATGCTGGAGTGGTTTGCCATTTCCTTCTCCAGCTCATTTTACAGATGAGGAAACTGAGGTAAACAGGGTAAAGTGACTTGCCCACAGGTCACACAGCTAGTTAGTATCTGAAGCCAGATTTGAACGCACAAAGATGAGTCTTCCTGACTTCAGGTCTGGCACTCTATCCACTTCACACCTATCCCCGCCTATTAAGGGTTTATAACTAGTAACTGGGGAAAAAGTATGGACACATAGCTATGATACAAAAGAAAGAAAGAAATGAGCTTGAAGGAGGGACTAGTAAGGTGTTATGCAAAGTCAGAGGAGGAGGGATCACTTTCTGCTGCTGCTATCAGAGAAGGCTTCATGGATTAAAATTTGAGCTGGGCCTTAAATCCTAAGATTTTCAGCTGGGAGAAGTGGACAAGAGCCTAGAGTGGGAGTGCCATATTCAAAGACGGAGACTGCAGAAAGTCATACAGTGGGTGAAATAACTATTCCGATCAGATCTTTGGGCACTTAAAGAATTTTAAAGCTGGAAGGGATATGAGACCATATTATCTAATCCTATTATCCTGAAGGTGATGCAAAAGGGGACAGAGAGATGAAGTATATTGTTCTTGGTCATGCTGAAAACTAAAGGCTAAGTTGAGATGGAAACTGAGGTCTCTTCAGGTCTCTCAGGTCAAGGACTTTTCACCTTACCAGGCTGGCTGTTGAATGGTATTAGATTATTTGGGTCATGTGTTACCTAGTGTGGGTTAACAGATTTGTATTTTAATGGGGTTCTTTTGATTTGATTTGGAGAGCTCAAAATTCAAATGTCCAGTAGTTGCTGGGCAATGCAAAGTGACCAACATTTAGGTGCAAAGCATTGACTAGAGAGTTGGGTTTCACGTCAACCTAATTTAGAAGGAGAATCAGTCTTCCTTGCTCAGACTCTTTCCCTACAAGTGGCTTTTATTAATCTGGTCAAATTTGTGGGGTTTTTCATGAGTCTGAGTTATATCAATGAGCATGCATCTAGAAGTCAGAGCAGATAGATGGTGAATTATTTAAAATAGATATATGTATTGATTCTTTCAACAGATACTCAGCTTCTACTTTCTAGGTTCGTTGCTAAGCATGGAGGGGGCACAAGGCTTAACAAAATGTGTCCCCTACCCTCAAAGAACTTAAAATCAACTGTGGAAGTTCAGACTCAATAATATGCAGATAAATGGAAAATGAATTAGAATGTGACTATATAAATAATTCCTACCTTAAACAAAGCATTCAGCTAATGGAGACAGATTTGAGGATCTTCTTGAATGTGGAATTTAGGGGGTTAATTCAGGGCTAAAAAAGCATTTCTTTTGGACTCATCACTTGTTGGAAATCTGTCTTTTAAAATTTCCACATCGCTGCTTAGTCACATGCGGAGTGGAATCTTTCTGCTAGAGGCAGATCCTACATGCAGTCTCAGGAGAGTTGGGTTCTAATCTGAGCTCCACTACTAATTACCTATGTGACTTTGGCCAAGCCACTAAACTCCTTGAACCTCCATTTCCTCATCTGTAAAATGGAGCTAATAATACCCTCTCCACTTGCCTGATGAGATTGTTCTCATTTTGAACATATGTTCTCATGGCCCAGGATAGAAGACAGAATTTTGAAAAGGTTAGGGTATTGGGCAAAAAGCTGGGAATTGTATTTTGGAAGGAAAAGTAGAAAGTATATAGATGTCAGAGGAAAAAAATATTAATACCATACTAAAGTTTTAGAGCAGCTAGGTGGTATAATGGATGGAGTGTCTGGACTCAGGAAGACCTGCGTTCAAATCTAACCTCAGACACTTACCAGTTGTGTGACCCTAGGCAAATCACTTAATCCTCTGTTCTTCAGTTTCCTCATCTGTAAAATGAGCTAGAGGAGGAAATGACCAACCGCTCTAGTATCTTTGCCAAGAAAACTCCAAATGGGGTCATGAAGAGTTGGATATGACTGACAACAACTATAGAACAAAACAAGGGTTTTAGATACAAGTCTGCCAAAATTTTATTTAATTTAATATTGATGTCCAAGGCAGTTCTAGCTTGAGAGGGAGAGAAAGAGAGAGAGAGAGAGAGAGAGAGAGAGAGAGAGAGAGAGAGAGAGAGAGAGAGAGAGACAGAAAGAGGGAAGAGGAGAGAGAGAGAGAGAGAGAGAGAGAGAGAGATTGAGACCTGGACTAGTTCCCTCAGATATGTCCTTCCCCCCAAGAGGGTTTGAGGTATAGAAACTTTTCAACAAGAAAAATCACAATATGTTAAAATACAGTTTAGACGTTTTCAAATCGTTGCCAATAAGAGTCATTATCCAGTTTTGGCACTTCCCTCAAGGAATCTCCTCCCAGTGATCATTCTCAGTGCAGTCTTTTCTGAAAGAGGTGTGTGTGCGCGTCTGTGTGTGTGTGTGTGTGTGTGTGTGTGTGTGTGTGTGTGTGTGTGTGTGTGTGTAGAGCTGTGGGAGAGCATAATGGGGAGAGGAAATCATAGCATCATCCCTTCAGGAGATGGGGAAAGGTGGTTGAGAAAGAGATGGGGGCAGCTGTCCACAGTTGAGTCAATAATCTCAGTCACTTATTCCAGGGGTTGAGGAAGGCAGCAAGCTAAAGAAGACAAGAGACAGACCAGGTCCGAAGTTTGGTTTCCATTCTTAATCCAGACCTTTTGTCTTCTATCTATTACCCTTCTTTATAGGTGGGAGGAAGTGTAAGTCTAGAATTAGCTTCTCGTGTTATTATTACTATTTTTGCTTTTTGGTGAGGGTTAAGGGATTTGCCCAGGGTCACACAGCTAGTAAGTGTCAAGTGTCTCAGGCCGGATTTGAACTCAGGTCCTCCTGACTCCAAGGCTCGAATCTATCCACTGCGTCACCTAGCTGTCCCTCTCATATTATTTCTTAATATTTCCAGGGACAACTGCAGAAGGTTTTTTTTATCTCCTGCCACACAAAGAAGGGAGGCTGGGAGGGTGGAGAGATAAGGATTTGCCATATGAGGGCTGGTTGAAGGAAGTGAGAATATTCAGCCTAGAGAAGAGAAAGAGGGAAGGGGGCAGGGAGATGATCTCCATCTTCAGGTATTAGAAGGATTGTAGGATGATGGAGGGATTGCATTCATTCTATCCAGTCTCAGAAGGGAGATCTAAAAGCTATGGGATAGAAGTTAGAGTTGAATTTAGGCTCCAGGTGAGGTAATAAGAACAGCTAACATTTATGTAGCATTTACTGTGTACCAGGCATTGTACTAAACATTTTACAAATGATATCTTAATCTTTACAATGACCCTGAGAGGTAGGTGCTCTTATTATCTCCATTTTACAAATGAGCAAGTTGAGGCAAACAGAGGTTAAGTGATTTACCCAGAGTCACACAGCTAGTATTTGATGCAAGACTCCAGGCCCAAGGCTCTACCCACTTACCTAGATGCCTAAGGGAGCAGTGAGGGCTCTTACAGTGTTAGTGATCCATGAGTGGAATGGGCTGCCTGGGAGTAGGGGTGGGGGTGGGAGGAAGAAGGAGTTAGTGGGCTCCCTCCCAGTGAAGGTCTTCAAGATGACCACTTGGCAGATAGAGAGTAGAGGTCTTCTCTGTCAGATCTGAGCCTGAGCTAGGTAGGTATGACCATCTAACTCAGAAATGAGATATTGAAGTGTCTTGGCCCTAGCACTTCTCCTGGAAGTTAGTGAGACTTGTTGGTTATTTATAATTTCTCTTATAAATCTTTTCTCTAATGATCTTTTTTTTTTGGCTAGGCAATAGGGTTAAGTGACTTGCCCAGGGTCACACAGCTAGTAAGTGATATGTGTCTGAGGCCGGATTTGAACTCAGGTCCTCCTGACTCCAAGGCTGGAGCTCTATTCACTCTGCCACCTAGCCGCCCCTCTAATGATCTTTCTTAAAAAACAAAACAAAACAAAATTCTCCGAAATAAAACAAAAACAAAATCTTCTTTATTCAAAATTCCAGTTAAGTGAAGTCAAGAGACTTGGGCTAAAGTTCAAGCTGTGTCACTAACTTGTGAGACTGACTCTCTGGTCCTCATTCTCCTGATGATAAGGAGATGATCTCTGAGCCTCTTTTCAGCCCTACAGTTTTTTGTTCTAAGATTCCTTCCAGAGAGGTGGTAGAAACATAGTCAATGAAGTCAGACTAAGTGACCTTCGAGTCAGAAAGACCTGGGTTGAGGCCGTGCCTTTGGCATGTACCCCTTGTGTGATCCTTCAACCCAACCCTCCGAGAACTCTGGGAGATCAGAAGAGTTGCTCATCTCTATTGGCGGAGGGATTTTTGTTTGTCTTCTGATTTCACATGCCATTTAAAAAAGGGAACTTCCACTTCTGACATTCTTTGATTTTGTGGATTTCACCTAAATGAGTTGGTTCCTTTTCGAGAGAGACACAGAAAGAGGGAGGGGGAGAGAGAGAGAGAGAGAGAGAGAGAGAGAGAGAGAGAGAGAGAGAGAGAGAGAGAGAGAGAGAGAGAGAGAGAGAGAGAGAGAGAGAGAGAGAGAGAGAGAGAGAGAGAGAGAGAGAGAGAGAGTTTTCCTTTGGGAGCATGTACTCACAAATCTCATGGCACAGAAAGATAAACGAACATGTAAGATGGGTGAGTTCATCTCAAGGGAAGGGGGCCTAGAAAGAACCAAAGCCAATAGCATCTCATGGCTCTCTTGCTGTTTCTTTTCTATTTTAAGGTTGTATACTTCACAGCCACATTCCCTTTCCTCATGCTTTTCGTGCTGTTGTTACGAGGAGTCACTCTGCCTGGAGCTGCCTCTGGCATCAAGTTTTATCTGTATCCTGATGCCTCTCGTTTGGTAGATCCACAGGTAAGGGACTATTGGACCTCCCCGTGGCCTCTGCTGAGACTCAGGGGCCATGAACAGGGGAACAAGGTCTGGGGCTTTGGGGAGGAGGTGGAGTGGTCCAGAGCACCTTTTTTTTCCATTACTCTCTTGGGTGCAAATATAGCACTGAGTGCTAACGGGTTGTGTTTTTCCACTGTGTCTCATTGAAAAGGTCATTGTTGAAAGTGTTAATGTATCTTTCCATGTGTATATCTTTTTATGTCAAAGGATTCTGAGGCTGTAGACTCTGTCCAATTATAGAATCTGGGTTAGGCTCTGGACAAGGTAAGGGAGATAACATTTTTTATGAGGATAGCATTTCCCCTTTCTCCCCCATTTTCTCCATCCCAAGGAGAGCCAGAAAAAAGGGGGACAAAGGGAACCTTGCTTGGAGGAAAGCATGGGAGTTCATCCCATACGGGGGCCTCCAGAGGAAGATGCTGAGTGAGGTAAGGGCAGTGGTCTTCAGAGTGTCGCATCAAAGTCCCAAAAGCCTTAGCATTCAGGGACTACACCTCCATGTCAGCTTACATCAGAATGATCAGAGTTAGCTTGCATACCCTAGAGACCACCTGGTCCTTTCTGCTTCATTTGACAGATGAGGAGACTGAAGTTCTTAGAGGTAAATGACTTGGCTATAGTCATATATCCAGGAAGTAGTAGAGTCAGCATTTGAAGCTAGGTCTTCTGAATTTGAGTCTAGTTTTTTCTTTTCTTCCCCCTGCTGCACTTCTTCCTATTTCCCAGGGAGAACTCCAACCTTTCTTTTTTTGTGGTGATTTTCTGAAATGCCTTGGGATACCCAGGCCAGGTCACTCATGTCTGGCTCCACAGTGTCCCCCCCTCCCCAAGTTCTGGGTTCAAATTCTGTAGGATTTTCTTTTGCTTTGATTTTTTAGTTCAGCTTGATTGAAAGAAAAAGTTGCTGAAGGTTATGGGAAGTAAACAAAATTCTAGCTAAATTTTCACCTTCTTTTTCAGAATCAGCTTTCTTTCTGATCCCTACAACATTGGCTTCTCTTTTGATAAAACATCAGAAGTTTGGAAGTGCTGAATCAAATATATAGTCAGTGGGTTAAAAAAACTGCACATATAAGACACATACAGAGAAGTGAATTTCCTTTACTCAGCCTGCTTTAGGTCACTGCCTCCTGCAAGGCAGCCGGGAGGGCTAGTCATTAGAAACAGGGAGAAATAGATGAAGTTGTAGGAATAGTGGTTCAGTCCAGGTATTGTGATTTGTAACCGTGAGTGTCTACTCAGCACACACATTTCATCGAATTTAGAGCAATCCCTTCCAAATCATCCAGCCCTTCCTCCTACAGAGGAGGAAACAGAGGCTGGAGAGGGGAGGTATCTTACTTAAGGTCATCTAAAAGTAGTAAGTCTTTTTTTTTTTTGGTTAAGGAATTGGGGTTAAATGACTTGCCCAGAGTCACACAGCTAGTGAGCATTATGGGTCTGAGGTCGGATTTGAACTCAGGTCCTCCTGACTCACAGTTGGTGCTCTATCCACTGCACCATTTAGCTGCCCCACAAAAGTAGTAAGTCCTGAAAAGGCACAAATGCATTAAGGGGTTTGCCCCCCTATACCTGTTTGTCCTAGTGAGAGTGACAAGCATGCTTGCCATCTGTCTGGAGTCACTAATAAAGATGAGATTGAGCCCCCAATCTGAAGTACCTGTTCTGAGTTCAGGCTCAGGGTTTCCTTTTGGTTTGGGGAAAAAAAGGAGTCAGGGAAAGGGGTTGGTTTGGGGAACAAGGGCTGTTGGTGAAGACATAAATCTTTAACCAACATCTTGGTTGGGACCAAAGCTCCCTTGGGTGCCCGGTATTTCTGTCTCCCCAGTCCTGTCAGACCCTCTTTCCTGATGGCGGGGTAGCTTTTTCTTCCTGGTCCCTTCTCTAGATCTAGCTCCCTTGTGATGTTCTCTTTTTCTCCCCTTCCCCCTCTCTCCTTCCAGGTCTGGATTGATGCTGGGACCCAAATCTTCTTTTCCTATGCTATCTGCTTGGGGGCAATGATCTCGCTGGGAAGCTATAACAGCTACAAATACAACTGCTACAGGCAAGTCTTCCCTCCACAGGGGTGCCCGCGACTTAGCTAATCGATGATGTGTAAACAGAAAAAAAAAAAGAAGTAGGGACCTGGGATTCAATCGTCCTTGAATTAACTTGCTCCATGAAATATGTGTGACTTAGGGACTGTATGCTGCTGGGATGCCTGAACAGTGGTACCAGTTTTGTGTCTGGCTTCGCAATTTTTTCCGTCCTGGGCTTCATGGCACACGAACAAGGGGTGGACATTGCAGATGTGGCCGAGTCAGGTATGGTGGTTTCGGTGGCAGTGATGGTGGGCACTGCCACCTAGTGTGTGAGCCGACTTCTGCAGGCATTTAGCCAGGAAGGGGGCATTGGGGGGGAAAGGAAAAAAAAATTGAGGTTTTCAAAATGAGCCCCAGCAACTTCCCCTAAGTACCAGAGACTCCTGCTTCAAAATGCACAACATCTGGATAGCCGTTTGATTGATGCGGGGGCAGAAAAGGAATGATGATTTCCTCTCCTCAACTTGGGGAATTGGGGTCAGTTCTTGATCAGGTCAACTCGAGGCCACCCGGCTGCCCACTGGGCCTTAAAGCAAATCCATTTGGAAACTCAAAATCGGCTGCCAGTTCTGCAATTCGATCGCAACTTTCTCAGCCTTAGTTTCTGTATTTTGCACTTTGCTCTCGGCGTTTTAGCTGTGAAAATCAGACCTTCTTGGGATCACTGTCCGTCTTTGAGCTGTCCCTTGTGAAGTTGGTATTATTGGTGACAAGTCCATTCTGAAATGGGTTGTGAGGAGAACGTCGCCTTCCACGGGCAGGTAGAATCTATTTTCAGGAAGGTCATCAGGTAGCCCAGAGGGGGCCCATCTCTCTGATTGCCACCCTAGGAAACTTAATCTGCTTTTTGAAACTGCTGCCTTCTTGAAGGCCCTCTGAGGTTGAAGAGGTAGATAGATAGGGAAGGTCCTATTGAGGAATATTCTGGGCAAGAGACAGTTGGTTTCAAAGTGTGGTCAGGCTAGTACTGTTGTTTGTCTCTCTCAGTGGGGTTGGTCACAACTCCAAAAGAGTGGGGGTGTGCACATAGGAGCAATTCAGACCACCATGTTGCCTCATTCAACTTCTCAAGTCTCTCCTTGGCCATTTTTTCCTCATTCCCTCATTAGCAATAGGAGCTGTAGCTCCATGATGGATATGCATGCATTTTATAAAATCACAGGGCACCAGAAAGTTCCTTTGAGACAATGTAGTTCAACCTTCTCATCTCACAGAGACATGTTTGAATCTAGTAAATGGCAGAGACAGGACTCCTTACTTCCAATTTCATGTTTCTATTATCCCACATAGCCTCTCAATGTCATTTCATGTAGAAGTAATTTGAAGTCATTAATTCCGCATTCTGAATCCTTGGATATGGTTAAGTCTTCCCTGATGGAAAGCTCCCCATACTCTTCTTCTTTCACCAACATTTCCACTGCTCCCCCTCAGATAGACACTTCATAGTGCAACACTCTACTGAGAAAGGCTCTCTCGGATATACCCCACTCCCCAAAGATGTGTCTGAGGATGTCTAAGATGCTAACCATTCCAAATGCTCCTCTGGCCTCTCCAAAAATTTCTGTAATTCCTTCTATGTAATTCCCCTATTGACTGCTCCAGTCTGAGGTTCCAAACCACCTTTACCATTGAAGGAGGAAGCCATTTTCTTGTTGACCCTCCTTGGTATTTTCTTGGTAAATCAAAGGCAACTCCATAGTTCTCAAACGAGGCTCCTGGTGATGAGGCAAGTATCTGTCTTCTCTAAAGTTGACTTTCATCTGCCATTTGGTCCAGGCAACATTGTCTGTTCCTTACCCAGCAAACTCTAGTTTAAAACAATAGTAGCAATGCACCATAATTCAGGAATACTTTCCAATTCATTTGGTTCCAGGCCTCTCTGCCTCTTTGGTGTTGCCGAGACCCTCCAAGTAAGTAAGGCCAAGAGTACATGACTGTTTAGCTATATCCAGAGAACCTGTGCCATGTCTATTTGGATTTGTGGGCTAGAGAGATGGATAGAGACTATATGTCAAGGAATCAGGCAAAGGCAGCTTTCTTTTACAAGAGGATTTGCAAATGACATAGCATTAATTAGGTGTAACTATCATCTTAGGTTCGGGTAGTGGTATGTATGTGTGTGTGTTTAAGCATAAATATGCATACGGGTAGATGTGTGAGCATATGTGTATATTGTGAAGACATTGAGGCATTCCAATACTTCCGAAGCTCTTTGAGGTCTCTAGCATGAGTAGATCCTTCATGGCGTAGCAGATGTTATTGTGAGTTTTTTGGCCAAAAGGATTCATCAGCTGGTCGCCAGTGTTCTGTGGTGATGGGCCTCTCTGTCCTCAGATAGGCTTGGCTGGTCTTCTGGTTATAGGTACAAAGCCCCCTCACTGGGTCTGTGCTTCCTAGCTTGTGAGTTACAAGAGCTTAGCTTTCTAAAACCCTGGGTTTCCTTCTATGGCAAGATGAGACACTGGCATAGAGCGGAGGGATGTATCGATGCAGTGTCAGCCTGAGCACCTCCTGTCCTTAGCCAGAGACTTCAAGCTATGACTTTATCATTTATTCCCCTTGGAGATTTATGAAGTGCCAACAGATGGAGTCTGATTATTTCTCTAATAAGCTTTTAACAAGCTCCATATTGGGCCTAGTGCCTTGAAATGAGATAATTATTGAGCTGAATGGAATTCAAATGAAATGTAGCATGGAGTGATTTATGCTCGTCACAGTCTGCCGAGGTACCAGAAGGGGGTTGGGTTCCTTCACATGGACTTCTCTCTTGATAATGCAGTGTTGGCTTCTAGAGACAACCAACTACTCAGAAAAACTGCAAAACGGAAATACAGAAACAATTGAGTTGATAATGTGCAGAGTTTGGGGGTGGGAGGGGGGGCACATGTTTTGCATCTGTCTCATAATTGGCTTGAATTGATTACACACGTGCCATCTAATGACCACAGCCTGAATGGAAATTTAGATTTCTCCTGAGGTAAGAGGCATTCCCTGAAGGCACAGATTCCTAGAATCCAAACATGCTGGGGGGCTGGAAGGGAACCCCAAGACCGTCTAATCCAACCGGCTCCTTTGACAAAGGAGAAAACTAAAGCCAGAGAGGAGAAGGAATCAGGTCACACTGGCCTCGGGAAGAACTACATCCTGAACCCAGACCACAGTGTCCTTTCCCCACCTGACACTGCCTCTTCATCCTCAAAATGGTCAGCTCGTTATATGATGTGCATTTGAAGATAGAGGCCTTGTTTCTTTTAATCTGTATTAAATGCCCAGTTTGGGCAAGGTGTCAAGGTGTTATGGAAAGAGGACTGGTTCTGGAGTCAGGAAGAGAGGCGGGTTTGAATTCTACCTCTCCTACAAATGCATAAGTTGTGTGACCATGGATGGACTTCTCTGAGCCTCAGTTTCCTCATCCCTAAAATGGGCGTAAGAACACCTACAGGACTCACCTCACAGGGTTGTTGTGAGGCTCACTTCACTGGAGGTAACATGTCAAGTGCTTTTTAAACTCCAAAGTGCTCTAGAAAGTCCAGTTATGGTGACTGTTCCTATGACCTTTTATTGATTTTCCAGGTAATATAATCATGTCCAGTCCTCAAAGGGCTTAATTCATATGATCACTTCCCTTTCTCCTGATTGAAATTCTATGGGATTGAAGGGCCACAGGGCCCGATTATCCATTCTCTCCTCTGCCCCATTCAGACCAGCTGCTCTCTAAATGAAAGGCGCTAATTTATGTTCCCTTTAACAAGGCAGAATCATAGGAAGGTATCATGGTAAGGGAGCTGAAAAGTCATCTGGTTCATTTTTATGGAAGGAGAAGTGACTTGTCCAAGGTGACACGGCTAGGGAGTAGTCCAGCCCAGACTAGGACCCATCCATCACCATATCATAGATTTAAGGCCAGAAAAGCCTTAGAAGCCATTTGGTCCAGTCTCCTCATTTTATTCTTGAGAAAATTGAGGACGCGAATGTTAAATGCCCATGTTCACATAGACAATAATAAGTCCCACCCATCTGAGGGTGCGACTTGAACCCATGTCCTCTGAGCTAACTTTTGTTTTTCATTGTACCACACTGACTCTCAGCTCAGTCGGTGCTCTCTCCACTGTATCACCCCACCCCTGAGTATGTCCTATGCTCTAATAATGCCACCCCCACTCCCACCCCTTCCTTCCCATCCAGAGGTCTTTTGCCTCCCTAAGGCTCCTTCCTTAGGAACAATGTCTTTATTCCCCTAGGAAGTTGTGCTTTCTCTTTCCAAAGGAGTTACATTTTTCTAACATTGTATAGCCTCTCAGTCTCTGTCTTTTCCATTCTTACTCATCTGGTTGTTGATTTTCCAAAACTTTGCTTTTTTTTTCCCCCTTTCATTTTATTCTCCAAATGTCTTGAATCATCAGATTTTCTCCATGTCTCCCTAATTGTTTTTCTTGTCAGTTACAACTCTTTTTTTCTTCTTTCTTGCCCTGACCATCCCTTTCCACTCATTTCTCTTTCTTTGTCCCTTTTTCTCCCTCCCTCTTTATCTTCCCTACCTTCCACACGCTCTCCTGGCTCTCTGTTAGCTGCACTGCTGGGCATCTGCCCTCCTTCTTCCAGCTGATCTAAGTCCATGGAAGTAAGAGAACTAAATTCACATTTCCCCAGATTTCTCATCCTTTTTTGCCTCCTAGCCAAGAAAAGAAAATGCAGGGAGTTCCAAAAGTCTCTTAAACTTTAATAGCTTAAAAGCACCCTAAGACTTTTGGGATACTCTCTATTCAAACAGCTCAGTCCCCCTCTCCTAAGTAAGAAAAGCTTATTGTATTTGCAAATGTTCCCTTTTCCTTCCCAGCTGAAAATCCTTAGTCGGAGACATGGTGCCAATTATCACCTCCATCCCCCTCTTCCATCGAGCTAGGGAGAGAGTGACCTTCCTAACCCTCTCATTTCACTTTCTGGTGATCTCTGTTTTATTGCTGAGCAGAGCTTTGCACTTCACCATTTGGCCCTAAGCCTAGAGTCCGAGATTCAGGCCGAGGACAGGCAGATGTGGGTGTGGCAGAGGAGACTGAAGAGAGAAACATCCGGTCACATCTGTTAGGATGTGCTAGTCCTTTGCCCAGAGGGCTCAGTGGTGTCTTTCTGCTCTGGTGGACAGAGTGTGTGCATGTGTGTGTGTGTGTGTGTGTGTGTGTGTGTGTGTGTGTGTGTGTGTGTGTGTGTGTGTGTGTGTTGAAGCCTGTAAATGATCTCTGACCCAACAAGCAGAGGGCAGAAACAATGAGACTTCTTCCCCACTAAACAAGAGCTTGAATTATCCAGAGAGTGCTTTTGTATCATTGTTTCCCTCTGAATATTGGGAAGTGCCCTCACAAGATCATTTCCAGATTTTTCCCCCCTCCTGAAAAATGAAAACCAAGAAGCTGCATTTGTTAAACAGCTTGGTTTGTTCCAGTAAAAGGAAGAACCTGCTTTGCAAAGTACCTGGGAGTCAGCCTTAGATTTCTCCCTTTCTCCCTGAAAGCCATGTTGCCCTGCGACTCAGGTTCATTTTCTCTGTCCCAGCTTACACCTTGGAATGATGAGCTCTACTCCCCTTGAGTCTCGTGGGGGTCTGTTGGAGACAGATGCTAAAACTGGCCCCAACTGGTTCCAAATTGAACTTATGCTGTCTGTGGCTAGGGCTGGTCTGACCTCTCCCTCAGGGAAGGTCCCCTGTCCTTCCTTCCCCTTGCTCGGGGTTGGGAGTGGCTGAACAAAACCAAATTATTTCTACCTTCCAGTAGGAGTCTCGGTTTTTCAAGAGGCTTGGTTACTGACTACTTTCCTCTCCTCTGCCCCCTTCCCATTCTCTCTTTTCCACTCCTTTAGGTCCAGGCTTGGCCTTCATTGCCTACCCGAAAGCTGTGTCGTTGATGCCGCTACCCACGTTTTGGGCCATTCTTTTTTTTATTATGCTTCTGTTGCTTGGACTGGATAGCCAGGTCAGTAAGAACGGCAGAGGGTGGGTTCTCTGCTTCTGATGGGAGGCAAGAATGTTCTTTCTTTGGGTTCTATTCATTACTATCTTCCCTCTTCACTTGTGCAACTTTGGCCATCTGGTAGGCAACCAGACACCTAAAAAGATCCTGACCTAGGGAAATCATTGTCACAAAGCCCACGCTTTCTATTTAGAAGCCAAGCTATCCTCAAATCCTCGGTCAATCATTTGTATACAAAAGATTAGCAGAGCTTAAAGAAGAAGGCTATACACATATCAGTCTGGGATATGGACAAATGGCCTTGCAGACTTTGAAAGGCCTGAGGGTTATCGTTGTATAATAGCATAAGTCCCTATCTCCTGTAACGAGAAGGTTATGAATGTCTATTATGAAAACACCAAACCCATCATCAAGAAAAGATGAAATGGTATTCAACTAAGTATCTACTAAGGTAGATAGTAGACATCAAAAGTAATTTAAATGAACATGCTTTTAGTGTTTGAAGAGGAGGCTAGAACATTTTTTTAACTGTAACACATATAATGCCAGATAAATGAAGAATCCCTATGCAATATATTTGCTGTCTATGAATATTTGTCTAAGAGGATCATATCATTTTATGAGCGAAACATCTTCTAGTAGGAGATGGTTCAGCACATGGTCAGTATTGGGAAATAAGGGACGTTGCTATGGTGGTATCTTTAAGCTTTGCTCTGAGTGTACCTCCTCTCTCATGCTCCTCCCCCTCCCCCTTTCTCAGGTGCCCCAAACCCAAGATCACCTTGCTGTGCCTCTTTTCAGGGAACATGGCTCTCCTAGACATCACCCGTGCTTTGGAGCTTCCCTGAACTCTTTTCCTGATGCCGCAGTGAAAATTTAATTGTCCTTTGCCTCAAAATAACAAAATGTCACCTGTGGCTAGCTTCACAGGCTAACAATCAATCTCTTCTGAGATGTTAGCAACATGTCGCCCTGTCTAGGTAACCAATTCGAGGTCTTCTGGATGCAGAGGAGCAACGTCTTTGAAGAGTTAGTTTTCCAGGCATCATAACATCATCCAGGTAGCTAGGTGGCACAGTGGATAGAGCGTCTGTCCTGGAGTCAGGAAGGCTCATATTTCTGAGTTCAAATCTGGCTTTGCTTACTAGTTACACAACCTTGGGCAAGTCAACTTAACTCTGCCTTAGTTTCCACATCTGTAAAATAAGCTAGAGAAGGAAATGACAAACCCTTCCAATATCTTTGCCAAGAAAACCCCAAATGGGGTCATGAAGAGTTGGACTGAATAATAGTGACTCCAAGCACCATAACAGAGTGATGTGGGAAATGGTGTATGATAGGAGAATTCATTGCCACCCTCAGAATCACTATGTAGATAACCATCTATGCATAATCAGGCCTTAGAAGACAAGCATGTGTCATATATCCATAGTGCATCAAAGAGTAGAGAAATGTGTGCCTTAGGTATGCGGCCAAGATCTCATAGGAAACCGTACTAGATGCTTTAGGAAATTAAATAAAGAAAATAAAGATGGAAAGAGTTGCTGGACTAGACCAAGTGTATCCAGAGAAGGTTCTAAAGGAAAAACACTTTTGTGGCCATTGGATGATGATTTTCCAGGTGACTGAAAGAGGGAGATTTTCTTACTACCCCCAAAAAGCAGTTATTAATAGAATATTAAGTCTGTTCTCTCATCTCTGCAAAATCTTTGTGAGGATGATCTACAATGACTGCATCTTAAGCGTGGCCAAGCTTTTGTAGATGAAATTCTATAGGGCACTATTTCTTTAGTTCAGTCAACAAGGTTCAGAGAATGTGAGATCTCATTGTGCTTATTAACTGTTGACTATAAAAAAGCATTTGATTTGTCGAAGCAAAATATCACAGTTAAAAGATCTCCCATAGATTATTAAAAATTATTCCAGATCTCTTGGGAAGATGCAGTAATAGAGATCACTTTATTAATCAATTTTCACATCATTTACACTTAGGTTAGGTTTAATATGGAGACATGTTTGCCAAAGACTCTGGAAAAGCCAGAGCCCAAGTGGAAAAAGGAATTCCCAAAAAATAGCAAAAATGTTAAGATAATCTCATTTGTAGAGGGTCTTGTGATGATTGATTACATCAAGTCCTAGAATGCTGAAGAACTTCCTAACTGAGATGCATAATTACTCAAAAAAGTTCAACCTAATTCTCCACGGAAGAAGAATCCATTGGATGAAGAATGACTCCTGCCCAGACTATGGCATATGTTTGGATGGCTATAATTACAGAGTTAATGCATTGGGATAGATATCTTAGATAGACTGTGCAGATGGAAAATGACCTGGATGAAGAACTGAGTAGGAGAAAGAGTAGGAAACTACATAGAGCTTTTAATAATAGCTTCTTTCAGAAAATAAGATCTATCTTTTTTTAACAATGAGATTCTTCCTGTGACCTGAATCCAACTCCAGCCTCAGACACTTCCCTAGTGGTCACTTAACCTTTCTCTGCCTCAGTTTGTCGTTGTTGTTCAGTCATTGCAGTCATGTCTGACTCCTCGTGACCCCATTTGGGGTTTTCTTGGCAAAGCTACTAGAATTGTTTGCCATTTCCTTCTCCAGGTCATTTTACAGATGAGGAAACTGAGGCAGAGAGCATTAAGTAACTCGCCCAGGGTCACCCAGCTAGTAAGTGCCTGAGGCCAGACTTGAACTCATGAACATGAGTCTTCCTAGCTCTAGGCCCGGTGCTCTATTCACTATGGCACCACGTAGCTGCCTTGTAACTAAGACCTAGAGAGCCTAAAAGATTTGCCTGAAGTCACACAGTAGAAGCTTGCAAAGAAGGCATGCGAGAGGTTATAAACATGTAGAAAAGGCCAGTGTGTGGTTGGAGATCATAGGATCTCATCAAGCACCAGGACAACAGATGGAGATTTGGGAGCTAAGAAATGACCCTCATGGCTGGGAGGATGAGTGAGCCCTGGAGGGAGGGGACGAGAGGCAGGAGATCAGAGATTCAAGAACCAGCTTTGAGAGGAAGACTCACAGACAAAGACTGGGAGAAAGAAGAGGAGCCAGTTAAAGAGAGCATAGCTGGGGAAGTTGGAGACACAAGAAAATCCAGCTTCGCAGAATCGGAGGCAGGAGAGAATGAGCAGTGAGTAAGCAGGAGGTGTTGGCGAAGCACTTTTCAGACTTAGAGAGGTCTTAAAGGGATGAGGAAGTGGGGTGGGGAAACGGCCGTGGGTTTGGCCAGAAAGGAGAGCTGTTAGTACAGAAGACAAAACCCAAAACATTCATGGAACTCTGCAGAGGGAAATACCCTGGCTCCAGGTAGATTAGGCTGTCACGGATCCTAAGCCATATTTGACACCAGTGTTACGATGTACAATTTTCTTCCAATGATAGTTGGCGCATGCTTCTGAGAATCCAAATTTTTCCATTTTGGATTCTTACCATCATGCTGGGCATTTGCAAATGTTTGTGGGAGCCTTCTTTTATGGTTAAACCTTCAGAGGCACTTTTCCAACTAACTTGGGGAATCCTGGAATCTAATAAAAGCCATTGGGGGTGTTGGAATTTTGCCATTTTCTTCTCCAGCTCATTTTACAGATGATGAAACAGAAGCAGAGAGGATTAAGCGACTTGCCCAAGGTCACATAGCTATTAAGTGTCTGAGGCAAGATTTGAATTCAGGTCTTCTTGACTCCAGGCCAGGCATTGTATTCACTGCCTCGATGCCTGGAAAGGGCTTTCCATCCTAGAATGTCAGAGCTGGAAGCGACCCTAAGATACAGAACTGTTCTCGACCTGCTCACTACCTGCTACCTATGCAATACTGGCTAATCCATTTAGCAATACTACAATTCGGTTAAGCTCTCTGGGCCTTAGTTTCCTCATCTACAAAATGGTAAAACATAATATTTAACCTGTCTGCTATGTTCACGTGTGATGCCAGTGTCATCAGTATTCATCTGAAAGCTCCATAAAGGGAATTTTAAGATTTTTCCAAATTGAATTCTGAAAAGTCCAGGCTGGCCCTTTACAAGCCAACCCCTTTTGTAAAAAGGAAGGCCTTCACTGACATGGAAATGGCTCCTTGCAGAAGTCAATTTTCATTAATTGGTGTTTCTTGCATCTTTGGAGTTGGGTCAAGTGTGACCAGGAGCTAAGACCAAACAGGCTCCAGGAGAGTGTTAACATGCAGGTTTAAAAATGAAAAAACACCCATTAGAAATCAGCGTACCCTAGGCACTTCTTTAAGAGTGCCAGGAGATTTAGGAGAATTACCAATGTCAAACAAAGTAAACATTCCCATGTGTGCTGCCCTGGGCTTCTCAGGGAGCATTGCCCCATCAACTTGGGCTAGCTTTGTTAGGCCTGGGGAACACACGAGCTCCAAAGTGACATTTAAAACCAATTTAGGAAATGTAGGGAGGGATCTTAGAACTTAGAATATTCAAGTTGGAGGTTACCTTAGAATGGAATATGTTAGAGCTGAAAAGGATCTGGGAAAGTGGAATGTTAGAGCTGGAGGGACCTCAGAGCAGAGGCAAAATAGAATATTGGAACTGAAAGGGTTTCCCTCCTTTTCTAGATAAGGGGACTGTGACCCAGGCACAGGGCAAGTGCAACAGAAAGTTGATGGCAAAGCCAGCACTAGATCCCCATCTCCTTATTCCCTAGGAATTTAAACACTGAAGTTTTTATGCATCGCCATTGACTCAGCTAATCCACCAGCTCTTCAGTTTTGAAGGCATCTGTTAGCTTAGCCATAAATAGATTATTGTGATTTCTTCTTCCCGTGAACCTGAAGAACTCTTGCCTACCTCAGTTTTTGACTAAACCTTGGTCAGATCCAAATTCCATTTGCAGACTATAATCACTCCTATTCAAATATAAACACGTATATAGCTCTTACTACATGCCAGGCACTTTACAAATATTATTTTACTGGATCCTCAAAACAAGCCCATGAGGTAGGGGCTATAATTATCTCTATTTCACAGTTGAAGACACTGATTGTTACTGACTTGCCCAGGGTCACACAGCCAGTTAAGTGCCTGAGGTTGGCTTTGAACTCAGGTCTTCTTTGCTCCCAATCCAGTGCTCTATCCACTGAGCCAGCCAGATGCATGGCTGGGAAAGGGCTGTCACTGTAGGAAACCCTGCCTGTGAGGAATCCAGTTCTAAGAAATGAGAACTGCTAGAAGAAATAAGCTTTATCTTTATGACTTGTCAGACCAATGACCTGAAACATTGCCTTCTTCCCCCCACCCCTTCCATAAACACCATAAGGTTTGATGCAGTGCATACTATCTGTTGTTTAAGAGACAGTCTGTGCCATGTGGTGGAAAATCTTTGGTTGGGAGTCAGGGGACCTGGGTTCCAATTCTGCCTTTGCCCCTCTCTATCATTGTAATCTTAAGTAAGTCCCTTAAACCTCTCTGGGTCTCAGTTGCCACCATGGTAAAATATGTTGTTTGATGAGGTAGATAGAAGTCCTGGACATGGAATTAGGAAGACCTGGGTTCGAATCCCACTTCAGACATATACTAGCTGTATGACCCTGAACAAGTCACTTTGCTTCCTTCTGCTTCAATTCCTTATCTATAAAATGGGAGAGGGAGAGTTGTACTAGATGACTTCTAAATCTATAATACTATAGATAGATACTATAGAGCTTTAAATCTATGATGCTATAATCCTTCCAAGCTTCAAGGCAATGTAGGGAAATTTTCCTTGGAGTTTTAATACTCACTCACTGAAATCACAACTTCTTTTACCTTGTCCTTAATATCCCATTATTGGGAAGGGCACAAGTCCTTGTTGATCAGCATAACTATGGAAGCATTATATGTTAAAGCTGGAAGGGACCTGAGAAAGCATTTGGCCCATCTCTCACATTTTAGGGTTGTTAAAGCTGAAGTCCAGAACAGGGGTATGGTTTGCCCAAAGTCATAGAGCAGATTAGTCAACAGGGCGGGTGCAGAGAGGACAATTACTTTCAAATCTTAGATAAGTGTGTTTTTTTTCCTAGTCATTCAGATGTAACAGAGACAAAGAGACAGAGAGGGAGAGAGGGGAGAGGAGAGAGAGACAGAGAGAGGGCGAAAGAGTGAGAAACAGAAAACACACTACTTTCATCCCATAAATAACCTTTAGATGAATAGATTTCTGTATTTCTGGCATGGGATTTCTTAGTTAAGTGAAACTTGCACGACATGAAATCATTTCTCTCTTACATGGAAAAACAGGTCCCAAATTAAATAGGGTACTTGGAATTTTCCAGCTTTAAAAGGAATGGATTGCAATTAAGTGACAGATAGACTAGATTCCTAGAAAATCAGGCCTGGAAGGGACCTTAGAGATGTTTCAATTCAACCTTCTCTGCCTCCTCTTATCCCCTTCCTCTTATATTCCTCCCTAGTTACCACCTTTCATATTTGTTGTCTTCCCCCATTAGAATGTAAGCTCCTTGAGGGTTAGGGATTGTCTTGCTGGCTTATATTTGTACCCCTAACTTTAGCACATTTTCTGATACATAGTAAATATTTAATAAATACTGTTTCATCCATCCATCTATCCATCCATCTGTCCATCCATCCATCTATCTATCCATCCCCTTTCCCTATTTTATAGAGGAGGTAGAAATAGTGGAGTAATTTGCCCAAGGTCACTGGGCAATTCTTTGGCGGAGTTGGATTAGAGCCTAGGGATCTGATCCTTGTAGCCCAATCCAGTCTCTTTCCACTGCACTGGGTTGGCTGGGGATTGGAGTGGACTTGGAGAGAGGGGAGAGTGTGTATTAAAATTATGTTGAAGGAGATCACTGAGGGGCAGCTGAAACTCAGTCCAATGTATTTTTGTCATTTTTCTCTTCCTTCTAGTTTGTTGAAGTTGAAGGACTGATCACATCATTGGTTGATCTGTACCCATCCTTCCTAAGGAAGGGTTACCGACGGGAAATCTTCATTGCTATAGTGTGTATCCTTAGCTACTTTCTGGGCCTTACTATGGTGACTGAAGTAAGTATTCCTGGACACCCACTACTCCATTGGTTCTTCCAGTCCTTGGTGGATGGATACACATTCTATTTATGTTAATATCAAAAGCTGTTTAGTTCATGTAGTCTGGTATTAAAGCCTTGTCTCTTTGGAGGTGAGAAACTGGCCAGCTCGATAACTTCTATTGGTCCTTGAGAGGCAAGTGAGATAATGAACAAAAAGCACTATATAAATATATTTGCTATTATAACTGTAGCAACAGCATGCTACAAGCTTCTTCTACAATTGGCTGAAATGACCCGACATCCCTAGTACTGAGTCCTCTAGTTAGATTTTTCTTCTCTTTTTGACCCCAGATACCAGTCAAATTTTAAAAAAGAATGTTCGGTTTCTATTTGAATTGGGGCTGCATTGCAAGGAGAAATACATCCTATGGGTAGATTTTTGTAATGTGATTGAAAATTTCTTTGATCAAAACATGGGCTACCAAAACTTATTTAAAAAATCAAAGTAGAAATAATCCTTTGGGTCTGGTATTGATAGATTACATCAATTATAAATATCTTACTTAGGATTGAAGCCTCCTGCAGGGCCCATAAAAAGCCCCAAAAGTGTCATTTTTCACCATAATGGGCCATCATACTTAGTCAGCTTCATGATGAAGCCTTCTATCTCCTTTTGAAATTTAATTTTTAAATAATTTTCCCCAAAACATATTGTGATTAGGAGATTGCATTATTAAATATTTGATGGTTTGAATCCTCCCTTAAAGTGAAGGATGTAGTGCGTTACCAAGAGGGAAATTGAAATAGAGGCATCTGAGGCAGACTCTACTTTTGAGACACTATACTTTCCTAGAATATTTGTCCTAAAGTCACTGTATGCAAAGCTAAACTCCAATTGCAGATAATGGTGAAAGCACCTGAATGAATGAATGCCTTTGCCTCTTTGAGCAATGGCAGAAGCCGTTGAATGAATGACAATGTAGGAGACATGATGTATAGATCCATATGATATAATGTCAAGTGAGTCTAGTGGTAAAGTAGAAAGTGAATTCATCTTTTATCCATCTACCTGTCTAAATTTCTCTACTCACTTTTTCTATATTTCTGTATTTATCACAACCTATCTTTCATCTTCCTCTTCTTCCTTTTTTTCACCTTCCTCCTTTCCTCCCAATTATCTGTTTCTGTCAATTTGTCTCTCTGTTTTTTTAATTCACTTTTCATCTATATCAAACTGCTTAGCAGCAATATTTTCAATAAAAGCGAAGATAGGAGAAATGAAAATATTCATGCTGAAGCAGAAGATCTCTGGTCTTGGTTAACAGTTGGCTTCCTGCCTCCTGAATTTCCCTGCTTCAGAACCTTCATAAAGCAGTTTTAATTACATCGACAAATTACTTCAAATTGCACAATGAACATTTTTAAAAATGGGGTAAGGGGTTATTTCTCCTGAGCTTCCTCTGAAAAGCACACATAATCTAAGCAGCATAATCTTGACTCTAGTATGAAGACTTTGGGTTGAGAATTGATTTTCAATAGAGAAGTTTGATCTGATGTTTCTGTTTGCAAAAAGAAGAGTTGGTTTGGATATCACTTCAGCTTTTGTCATCATGAAGGTCCATTATTGTCTCTATAATCAGGCTTTTGCTTCTTAGGAGAGGGTGGTGACATTGAATTGCACCCTTTGTCCTCGGTGCCCAGAAAGTTCACTTCCTTTGTGATTTCTTCACAGGGTGGCATGTATGTGTTTCAACTCTTTGACTACTATGCAGCTAGCGGTGTATGCCTCTTGTGGGTTGCATTCTTTGAATGTATTGCTATTTCCTGGGTATATGGTGAGTACAGAACCTTAGCTATTGTCTTAAATGTACTTAAATGTCACTCTCCTCTAGTGGCAGGCCAAGGGAAGGGGTTATTTCATGGTGTGATAAGAACCTTCAGAACTCAAGAATTCTACCTGGTTCCTGCTCACTGTTAGCAAAAAATAAGTTTCAGGATGTCATAGGATTTTAGCTCATTGCTCTTGGGTGCTGTGACTCAGCTATGCCAGGGATTGAAAGGCAATGTGGGGCAAAGGGCCCAAACCACTTTCTTACCATTTCTTGATAAAAAGAAAGGCTACATAAGAAACTACCAAGGCAAAGATTGATCGTCTTATATGGGAAGGGATGAAACGTTAAAAAGTGGTATGAGCAGGTTATGAAGATGAACCCCTTCGATGTAGCCACATACTTATTCAGATGAAGTTGCCATTTTCCATAAATGTTACTCCTGCTTCTCTGGGGAGAATGGTACTCATAGGGGCTTAGACCTACCTCAGTAGCCTTCAAATCCCATGTATCCCTAAGTTAGACACAAGCTAATGCTTTGTGGCTGTTAATGTTCAATCACATGCTTTCGTCTTCCTATTACTCATGAGCATAATGGACTTTGCCTGAATAAACAAGGGGAAAAAAGCAAATGCCTTCTTGACTAAGGTTACTTGTATTCAGTTATTTCAGCTGGGTTTGACTCTTTGTGACCCCATTTGGGCTTTTCTTGGCAGAGATACTAGAGTGGTTTGCCATTTCGTTCTCCAGCTCATTTTACAGATGAGGAAACTGAGGCAAATAAAGTTAAGTGATTTGCCCAGGGTTAGTGCCTGAGGACAAGTTTGAACTCAGGAAGAGTGTTTCTGACTACAGGTCTGGAGCTATATCTACTGCACCTCCTAGCTGCCCTTTATTTACCTTACTTTATTTACCACAAGCATTTCTCCACCATTAGTGTGTAAGTTCTCTGAAGACAAGACATGTTTTTGCCTTCTTTTGTATCCCCAGTATCTAACACATGTTAAGTGACATGTCACATGTTAAGTGCTATTTAATAAATGTTTATTGATTGATTGACAATCTATCTCTTCCAGGAGCTGATCGTCTTTATGATCGCATTGAGGAGATGATTGGATATAGACCTAGCCCTTGGATGAAATGGAGCTGGTGTGCCATCACACCAATTCTTTGCGTTGTAAGTTGAAAGCTTCCTAACCCATAGTTCCCCTTTCTCCAAAGGTTTTGATTGCATTGACTGAGGGCCTGATGGTAATCTTTAAGAAGTTTGCCTTGGAAACACCAAGCAAGAAAACATACTGCTGTAAGTTACAAGGTCCCCTCTGCCGTGTCTAAAAATGGCATTCAAGGGGCAGCTAGGTGGCACAGTGGATAAAGCACCCGCCCTGGATTCAGGAGGACCTGAGCTCAAATCCGGCCTCAGACACATGACACTTACTAGCTGTATGACTCTGGGCAAGTCACTTAACCCCATTGCCTAACCAAATAAAAAACAAAACAAAAAATGGTGTTCAATAACAGCGCACATTTTTAGAGCAGTTTAAGGTTTGCAAAATGTTTTGCATGGATTATTTCAGTTGATCCTCACAACCACTTTGTAGAGTAGCTCTTGTTATTTATCCCCATGCTTCAGATGAGAAAAACTGAGTCAGACAGAGGTTAAATGCCTTGCCTGTGGTCACAGAGCTAGTAAGTATCTGAAGCAGGATTTTAACTTGGGTCTGAGAGCTGGAAAAGGACATGGCAAACCACTCCAGCATCTTTGCCAAGAAAACCCCATGGAGGGCAGCTATGGGCACAGTAGATATAGCACCAGCCTTGGAGTCAGGAGGACTGGAGTTCAAATCTAACCTCAGATACTTACTCCTAGCTCTGTGATCCTGGGCAAGTCACTTAACCACAATTGCAAAAGAAAGGAAGAAAGAAAGAAAAAAAGAAAGGAAGGAAGGAAGGAAGAAAGAAAGAAAGGAAAAGAGAAAGAAAGGAAGGAAGGAAGGAAGGAAGGAAGGAAGGAAGGAAGGAAGGAAGGAAGGAAGGAAGGAAGGAAGGAAGGAAGGAAGGAAGAAAAGAAGAGAGAAAAAGAGAAAGAAAGAAGGAAAGAAAGAAGAAAGCCCTAAATGGGGTCACAAAGAGTTGGTTACAATTGAAACAACTGAGCAACAGCTATCCTGACTCCAGGTCTAACTCTCTGCCCAGTACAACACCCAACTGCCCCTTGTTGTTTCTGAGCTGGGTCTGGTTCAAGTAAACTTTGTGTGTGTACCGTAGCCCCCTTTTTCAGTGGGATCAGGTGTAATGCCTTCTCCTCATATCTTCACTTTGGCACATCGAAAGTGAGGCCCATAGAAAGAGAAGCAAGCTGTATTTGCCAGTCGTCTTGGATGGGCAGATTTGTATTCAGGTGAATGTCTCTCTGTCTGTCGTATTTATGGACCTCTCTGCTTAGTCTACCATGGAGTTCCTTCAGGAGCTCCAGCCAGTAGGGACTCGTATCAAATATTGGCTTCATCTGAACACTGGAAACAAACACTTGCCTTTGAAAATATTGGAAAGGGGAGCAAACATTTGCTTTCCAGTTCTCTGCTCATATTTGAAGAGCTGTTTGCTGAAATTTTTATTACACGTGGAAAAGGCAGCCAAAGAGATAAGATGATGGAAGCTTAGCAGTCAGCTCTTACATGTCCCCTCTGTGACTGGGTGTTCTCTGAAGACCAGGTCCACAACAAATGTTATGACTCTGTAAGGAGACCTTTGGGTACCAGTCAACCATTCACTTCCTGATGGATGACCTTAGGGTTAGAGGTGAACCTTAGGCTCCAGCATAGCCTCCAGTTACTATCTATGGTCCAGCCAACCTGGCCTTTCTGTTCCTTATGTATAATACTTTTTTATCTCCACTCTTCAGGGATTTTGCCTACCTCTTCCCTAAGCCTAGAGTACACTCCTTCCTTACCCTTGCCTTTTACAATCCCTAGGCAGCTAAGTGGTGCAGTGGGTAGAGTACTGAACTTAGAGTCAGGAAGACCTGAGCTTAAATCTCAGATATTTCCCGGTTCTGTGACCTTGGTCAAATCACTGAGCCTCAGTTTCCTCAACTCTAAAAAGGGGAATGATGGTAATGATGCCTGTTTCCCAAAGCTGTTGTGAAGATCAAAGGAATTAATATTGATAAATCACTTAGCACAGTGCCTGGCATGTAATAGGCACTTAGTAAATTCCTGCTCCCCCTTACCTCTTTTGCCCTTTTACCCCTTTAGATTCTTTAGTTTATTAGGATCAAGAGATGATAGAGCTGGAATAGGACTGCAAAGCCTTTCTAGTTTCATCTAGAAACTTTCATCTCAGGTTACAGATGAGGTCACTGAGGCCCGAGGTGGGTGAGTAACTTTCCCAAGGTCACACAAGTAGTAAATGGCAAAGTGGATTTGAACCCAGGCCATCAAACTCCAGAGCCATTTCCCCCCTCCCCCATTTATACCTTCAAAACTATTCACATGCCATTTTCTCCATGAAGCCTGTTCTGATTCCCAACCCAGATGGTAGTGAGAACCTCACCAAAACCACCTCGTATTTACTTTAGGTGAATTTTGTGTGTACCTAAAAATGTTTACTTTCTCCAATAGAAAGTGAGCTTAAATAGGTGATTGTTCTCTGGCTTGTCATATATCTAGAAATACTCTGATCCTTAAATAGACCTTTGTAGCTCCCCCCTCCCCTTTTTTAATGTCACAGACTCTTGTGGCTATCTGGTGAAGCTAGGGTCCCTTTCTCAGAGTAAAGTTTTAAATACATGAAGTCAAATACATAGGATTACCCAGGAAACTACTTATCTTGAAATACAGTTATCAAGATTTTTTTTATCAAGATATTTTTAAAAAGCACCCAGATTCCAGGTTAAGAACCCTTGCCTTAAATGATCTTTGTATCATTGATGAGGGCTGTCCCTATACCAAGGCTTTTTGCATTCCCCCTCCCTGACTTTGTTGGAAGCTTTAAATCAATCAACAAACATTTATAATGTGACCACTGGGTACCAGGCATTGTACCAACCCAATTTCAGGAGTTGCTGTGGTTGAAAGAATTTGTGATTCCCTTGCTAGTTCATGAGCCTCAGAACTTAGCTAGGTTCTTCCATGGGTAACAGAGGTACAGTCCATCACTGGGCCCATCCTTGAAACCTTTCTAGTTGAATAGATTCTGGAAGAACTTGTACCCTACTGGAATAGCCCTCAAGGAACCAGGATCATCTCCACCCTCCAACAAAGCATGGCAGGACTGAGACTCCAAGGAAACTACAGGGAAAAGTATTTGTTGATTTAGAATGGTGGCTATTAACTCTGTGTCCATTTGATCTGAGACCCATTCTGTAGAAGGGTCTCCAATGTTCTCCTTACTCCAGCCTTTGAGAAAGCAATCAGCACTAATGGTTTGGAGTGCTAAGAAAATCTCATGACTAGTTTTGATGGTTTTCAATGGTTCACTGATGCTCTTATCACTAAATTTTCTTTCATATTTTCTCCTGATAGGAATGGGGCCCAGAATCAGGAAGACAAGTTCAAGCCCCATCCCTGCTATGTACTATCTGGGTAGTCCTGTTCAAATCTCTTAACCTCTATCTCATTGCCCTTGGCCACACTCTACGACAATCAAGCATTAGAGAAGGAGCCAAGAGTCACTGGTAGAGGAATTTTCCTCACCTGAGGGTTCCCAACACCATTGAAATCCCTGGTCTAGTTTTTAAAAATAGCTTTGTTTGGAAGCACCAGCAACACTACTAGTCCTTATTTCTTTCAGTTTGGGGCTTTGCTATCCAAGTAGGGAGTGCTCAGAATTTGGGACATTAGATGAAATAATCATTACCAAATAGCACCTTCAGGCAAGTCACTTTATCTGTTTCTGATTCAATTTCCTCGTCTGTCAAATGAAGAGATTGGACTTGATAGCTTTTGATAATAATAATAGCCAGTATTTTTCTAGTGCCTTACAGTTTGCAAAGTGCTTTCCAAATATTATCTCATTTCATCCTCCCAACAACTCTGAGAGGTGCTTTATTATCCCCATTTTATAGATGAGAAAACTGAGGCAAACAGATTAAACGACTTGCCCAGGGTGTCATAGCATATAAATATGGGAAAGAATTTGAACTCAGGTCTTCGTGACTCTGGATCTATCCCTCTATGCACTGTGTCACCTAGCTGCCTATGATCCTAGGATTCTCTTTTTGAACATGATCAGACAAAGGTAGCAGAAATTAATTGAAATTCAATAGGGTACTTGGTCAAATGGAGCACAAGCCTACTTAACTGGAACCTTGAGTGTATTCTGTCCTACCATCTGCTCGTGGCCCTTTAAATCCTTCACTAGTGGGAATGGATTGGCATTGAGTCATCCACATTTCTCTCATTAGATCTCTTGGTAGCCAGGAATGCAGTGTTGCAGCTTTCTGGCCAAATCTATCATCTTGGCCTGAGCCAAACACACCATATTCTGACCTTTGGAATGATTGAGATTCTATGTGTCTGGCTCAAAAGCTGTCCCTAGAGTCCTAATGAATCAGAATACTCATCCTACACTTTCTGCTCCTCAGCAGGACCTGGGAGGATCAGAAGCTGGTGAGGACTTTAGTGATTTTATCTATAAAATAAGAGAATGTGTCCCTTCTAAATCAACTCATTATCTGTTGTTTTTATAAAATCTTCATTTCCCAGTGTATCTTCCCCTCATCTCTACTTACAGAATTTAAGAAGAGGAAGGAAAAAAGTTCAGTGAAACTAAGCATTCTCTCACAAAAGTAGTGTTCCCATCAATCCATATAAGCCCCAGCATTGACTATTGCCATATTTTGTCATCTTTGTTATTCATTGAACCTGAAATGGATCATAGGTTTACTTTGGATTTACTTTAGTCCCACCCACATTTCTCCCCATTCAGGGTCAGCCAGGAGCCATATCCTCAAAAGTCAGGAATTGCCTTGGACCAAGCATCCTCTAAGAATAGTACTGAGTCCCATACCTACCCTGGGACAACCTTGTGACAATCAAGGACCTGGGGCTCAAGGGGAACCTGTTTTTAAAGTATTTTGGTATCTATTTCAGTATAATTGGTTTTCTCACGAAATCATCTGAATTATATTTTATGTATTTGACAATATGATTCTGAAAAGTCCATAGGTTTAACCAGACTGCCAGTGGGGGCCATGATACAAAGAAGGCTAAGAACCCTAGATTTAAGGGATGGTCTTGGTGACCATAGTCACCGAGAGATACGCTTGCTAAAACTCACCTCCATAATGCTTTTACTCTTCCACAGGGATGCTTCATCTTCTCTCTGGTTGAGCATACACCACTGACCTACAACAAGGGGTATGTCTACCCCAAATGGGCTATTGGCCTAGGCTGGTGCTTGGCCCTCTCTTCCATGCTATGCATCCCCTTAATGGTGATTATCCGGATTGCCCAGTCAAGTGGATCGCTCATTGAGGTAAGAGCTCTGGGGGGAGCAGGAGGGCCTCCATTTTTGAAGCAAAGAGTAGTCCCTACAACACCCTACACCCAGATCCTACAAATGGACTCCATAATTCTGGGTGACAGGTCCTGCTTCGTGCCCACGGGAAAATTAGAGTTCAAAGGAAGGGTTATTTGAGGGAAGAGAACATTGGACCAAGACATGTTGGTTCTAGTCTTGGCTTTGCTTTTAACTTGCTGTTTGACCCTGCAGTCCTCCAGATCCCAAGAACCAAGCTATTGCGAGTCTGCAATAAAGTAATAGCAGCCCTTTCTTTCTTGTTATTCTTGTTCTTTCTAATTCCCACTTGGCCCAGTGAGAAGAATCTCTAGGCTTTTTAGCCATGCCAGCATCAGGCTGTGCACTCCTTGCCCTTTTTGATTTCCCTGGCAGCCCCTTTGCTTCTTACCTTCCTCAAGAGGCTTCTTCCCAATTGCTGGGACTCCACTGTCTGGTGAAAGTGGGACCCCTGCTACAAACAAAATGAAACATGTCTTTTCTTAAAATTCTCCCTAACACTTAGGCTTGGTCAACTTCCAAGGTCTTAGGGTTTATTCTCTTCTGTTGCTTTAGGCAGAGCTGGGACATATACTTTGGCTCAGGCTCTCCAGTGCCTCTTGTGATATCTTTTTCATTAGAGTTTGGAAAGCAGCTTACAGTAGCAGTTTTCTTGTGCTGGGAAGTGGCATGGGGCATGGAGCGTGGGGTTTGGAACATGGGGGCATGAAGCCAGTAGACTAGGGATTGGCTTTGAGACAAAGCATGGAGCAATTTGTCATCTTCCAGCCAAGTGGCTGCTCTTTAAATCCAAAGGAGGAGAGAGGGAGAAGTGAAAAGGGAAGGTGTGAACTGGAAAAAGATAAGAGACCAGTTTACAGTTTACACTCCTTTGAATAGCTGTGAGAAATTTTGTTTAGCTCAGCTATTTTAGGATTCAGTGAACTCTCCAGCTCATTCCCTCATACTCAGTAGTGATATACCCTTAGACAAGTCATTTCCTTTTCTGTGTCTCAGTTTTTCCTTCTGTAAAATGGAAGTGACAGTACTTTTACAATATACCTTAAAGCGGGTTGGTTGTGAGGACAGCGTCTTGTTCATCTTAAGGTGTTTTAGAAATGTAAGTTGTTATTATTCCTAAGAATTTAAAATAATTCTTAAGATCGTAGGTTTAGAACTAGAAGGGTCTTTAAAGATCTTCCAGTCCAATCCCTTCATTTTCCTGAGGGAGAAACTGAGGCTCAGATGATGTGATTTGCCCAGAGTCATATGGGTAGTAAGTGGTACATTTGGAAGCTAAACCCAGGTCTTCTTACTCAAATCTAATCATCTTACTGCTGCTTTGGCCCTGATAGAATCTCTGGGAAAGCACTCTGTGCTGGATTCACAAACATCTTCCAACACTGACTTAGGTGATTCTATGAGCATTTCAGTTGCTTTGGCTACTTCACCTGTAGATCCAATAAGCTGGATCTGGGCTGTGAGGGGCCTTGAACGCTAGGCAAAGGATGCTGACCTTTATTGTCTAGGTAATTAGTAGTCACTGAAGGTTTCTTAGAAGGGCTGGAAGGGAGGCCTGGTGGACATGGAGCCTTCATGGTTGCCATGACTTAGTCAAGTTGAGGGTAAGGGTAACTCTACGAACAAGGACCTCAGTTCATCTTGTTGCCTTTTCTGATATATCTGCATTTATATTCATGTCTTTTTTCAGAGGATAAAGGCAGCAACAGTTCCTAAGCATGTGCATCGGTGGAACCATGAGCCTGAGGGGTCCACACCGTTCTGTTCCAGGGATAACTCAAATGGCAACCTCATGAAACCCACCCATATCATTGTGGAGACCATGATGTGAGCTCTCTCTGTGAGAGGAGAAACCTGCTTTAACTGCCGTTTACTAACCTTAGATTCTCATAGTACCAGGTTTACAGAGCTTTATATTTGCACTAGGATTGGATTTTTTGTTTTGTTTTGTTTTTCCTTAGTTGTTTTTTTCATTCTCACAGAGAAAGTTATTTTTCATGTGTGCGCACGTGTGTGTGTTGTATTTTTTTTAAAGACTATTTTATAAGGTAACCACATGCAGACGTCTCCAAGGAGACTGAGCTTTCATATCAAATTAGACGTATTACAGGAATTTATTAATTTTTTATACCTAGCTATGATTATACACCTTTACCACTTGAATCAATCTTCTTGCCAGCAATATATTCAGTTTCTAAAGCAATCTCCAGGTGCTGGTGTGGATGGGTTGTGCACAAGAACTCTAGGGTAAACTTTATCCCAAAGAGCAAAATGAAACGCTATTATGAGCATTTCAAAGGTGTAGTACCTTCTGAGTGTGGTTCAGAGCAGAACAAACGACAGGTGGAGAGGACCTGGGCAGCCCACCATGTTGACCATGGTTGGCCAAGGCCACATTGGCCGGGGCCATGTTAGAAGGAGTGAAGGAGGCATTGGAAGTGAAGCCAATAAAACGTTGGATGTTGGAGCTTCATTAATCGATGTATTTGTAGCTGAGGAGAGAGATGCACACACACACACACACACACACACACAAACAAAATAAGACTGAGAGTGAAACAGGAGACCTGCACCCCCCACAAAATCAATAAAAGACTTTCTAAGAGTAGTAAGAGCCCCTGTTTCAGGTAATTCTTTTTGAATAAAGTCAAAAAAAGGAATCATAATCTAGCCTTTTGGAAATTTGCATTAAAAAAAATTACCTTATAGTCTCAAATAATTGAATTGAATGCAGTGATCATACTTTAAAATTAGAAACCATTAAAGATATTGTAGCCCTCTAATATTTACTTATCAGTAGCAAAGATCTTCCCCTCACTTAAATTTTGTTTAGCAAGCCATTTTGCTAGATTGGCTCCTCCTTCTATCCCAATAGAGTCAGACTCCCCAGCCTTCGTGGCTGGGCTAGGAATAAAGGATGGCAAATTGTAGGGACCAGGACTCTTGGTGGGGTTTTGGTGGCAACTGTCAGGCTGACCCACTTATAATTTTTGGGCCATTCTAGAATTGCTCGTCTGTATTCAGCCTTGACCTTCAAATAACTGGCTTTCTTCTAGTGTGCCCAGGTTTCAGGAAACCCTAAGGAAGAAGAAGGGGTGGCCTTTGCTGAATCACTGGGAACCACCTTGCTTCTTGAAGGGTTTTGTCTCAGCTACAGGGTCCATATCTGCTTCCATACCACCATATTTTTGTTGTTGGTGGTTTTTTAAAAAATTGTTTTTACATTTTTTAATGGAAACATACCTGGTTCTTGACATTCCTAAAAAATCATAAATCTCTAACCCACCATTACAGTGTGGCTTTCCTAAACCAAACCATGCATATGATGAGTCACATGGATATAGGGATGAAGGAGAAAAGTGCAAGTGGACCAAAGGAAGTATGACATGTGCACTTGGGACCTGCCTTGGATTGGGGAGTTTTGAGAAAGACTTTGGGGATACGGCAGTCACTAAAAATCAGAGTACTGTTATTCTTTCTAGCATTTCCCAGTCTTATCTCATCATCATCCTCTTTCCACCTCCAAGTATTTGTTTAAAAGATATGGAAATAGAAGCCTCCCAGCAGAGTCTGTAACTAAATCTTCTTGGAGTTAGGAGGAGGGGAAGGCAGCTGCCCTATGCCCCAGCAATTAGTGAGACACTTCAGTGGAGTCATTTCCTGGCCATTTGGATGATCCATTGGCCACCCACCCAAATCTAGCCATAGCCGGACAAGGAGATAGCAGTGTGTTGCAACTCAGTCTTCTAAGCAGCCAGTGCTAAAGGAATCTTTTCTAAGAAGTAGCCTCCTGGTTAGCCTGTGCCCCTGGCCCTACCCAGTCTCAGAGAAGAGGGGTATTTCCATGTCATAGGGGTAACTAATCATGGTCCATTTCACAGCTACAGGATAGGACTTGGGAACAGGCATCCAGCCTAAATTCTCATCCGAATATGAAAGTCCTTGGCAGCCTTAGGTAGATGCTACAGTAGCAAAACGCTAATTTTCATGATGCTAGATGTGTTGTTTAGACATACACTACATAGCAAGGAAGTGGGAGAGGGGGAAAGGGAAGAACTGAGGGATGAGAGAATGAAAAAAAAAGTTGATATATTAAGATTTTCAGTGGAGCCAATACCACCAAGACAATATTTCCTCAACCCCCTGCAAGGTGAATAATTGTGTTCCACTGTGAACCAGAAAAGATGGTACTACACCTTTAAAATCACCACTAAGAAGACACCAGCCCCATTTCTAACTTGAACTGTGCCATTCAAATCAATTGCTTCCAAGTTCAGAGTATATTACCAAAAAAAAAAAAGTTTCTTAAGTGTCACACACATATGCAATGACCTCATTGTATGAAGTGAAGTGTTTTTGTTTTTGTTTCTGTTTTTCCTGGGATAAGGTACTCTGGCCCTGGTAGTAGAGTTCAGCCTGAGTTAGAGACAAGGCTGGAATCTCAGAAAGCAGGATCTCACTAAGAAAACCTGCTCTCCATCCCTACCTCCAGACATAGAGAGCTGTCTGGAGCATGTCCTGTTGCAGGGGTGCTCAAAGCAGGAGGGCAGTGCTTTTCAAATACTTTTATCTGTTCTAAATGTCACCCATTAAAAATTCACTGCCCCCCCAAAATGATATTCTGCCAAATGTAACTTATAATCCAAACTCTTTAACAATTCTACTATGTTTATATTTTTCTAGGTATTTATGATTGTAAATGTATCCCTCTGCCCCCACACCCTGGTTTCCTTTGTAGAAATGTGACCTATTTGTTGTATGGAACTTTAGTGAACTAACCATTCGTCATGATTGGGGATGGGTGAGTCATCTACAAAAGTTGCCCCTTCTGCTATCCTCTTTCACCTCCAAGCCAGAGCTGAACCTGGCAAGCTACTGCTTTCGATTGTCTTGGTCAGGAAGTAGAAGCATGGAGTGAAAAATGGCAGTGTACTGAGCCCTTCCTAAATTCGCACATTCTGCGACTGGCTTGAGGGAGATTTTTCAAGATCCTCAGGCCAGCCATTTTTCTAGACCAAAGATTTCTAGACAAAACTCTCAGATGGCAACTGGAAGGTTGGCTCCTTCAGCTGATGACATTTTCAGAAACATTGGTGTTTCACCCATCATCAAACATGATCTCTCTTATGACTATTCTGTCTGTATAAAACATGACTCCATGGGTAGTATGTGTAATAATGGTAACTTTTATATATTCGTTTATCTATATAAATCAAGCTTTTAACTAGCATTTTGATGAGTCTAGTCCTACTCTGTCTAAGTACATGAGATGTAGGCCCTCTGGATAGCAAGGGGCCCAGACGTGGTTGAAACACCATATTTTCATGGAACATAAGCCAAAGGAATGCACTGCCTTCACCATTTTTCCTCCCTAGGGAGATGCCCCAGGTTGTGAGATCTTGAAGGGTAGAAAGAAAATAATTGGTGGGGAGAAAAAAGAAAAAGAAAAGAAACCTTTGGAATCAAAAGACAGACCCTGGGATAAATCTTAGGTGGAATGAACTTAATCAGATCAGATGAATAGCTTTTTCTTCAGAGAGGGTCCAAAGATTCGTAGAATGGCAGAGCTGGAAGGGACTTTGATCTGGTCCAAGCCCTCATTCTACAGATGAGGAACTGAATTTCAGAGGTGGGGAGTGACTTGCCCGACACCCTACATTATGTTAGTCCTAGACCCAGGCCTAGAACTTAGGTCTCCAGTCCCATATTTACTAGTCCAGGGCTTTTTTTTTTCTTTCTTTCTTTCCCCACCACTCTACCTCTGTCCCCATGCTAATGATGCTTGGTCCTTATCTGAAATCAAAACTTCTATGGAACAGTACAACTCTCCTATCTCATTAGTTTTGCAAATACCTTCTTGTCTGCTATCACCAAATGCTATTCAAAATTGGATTGAGACAACTTGAATTAGTTGAAAAGTTGTAGATAAATATCTTTTATAATCTTTGGAAGGACCCTTAAGAACCCAGAATGTTAGAGTCAAAGGGGACCTGAGAACAAAATATCTTAGTGCTAGAAGGGAGCATTAGAGATCGAAGGAACCTTAGAACAGAGAATCTTTATATAGAGAAGGTTAGAACTGAAAGAAACCTTTAGATCTTAGAATGCCAGAGCTGTATGGGACCTCAGAGAGCATCTTTATAGAGGAGATTTATAAAGGAGGAAGGCAGGTAAAGCTCCTGACTCCATTTACAATACTTCAATAATTACTAGTACTCCTAATAGGAAAATCAGAAGTTATGCCCTTCTTCCTCACATTTCCTTTGTTTGACATTTACGGTGAAGCAAAGGTGGTGAAGTCCCATCCAACTCACAGAATAGACTTCTCATTTACCAAGCCTGTCAAGATGGGAGTTGAATTAAGTGGGCTATTTCTCACTTTATGGAAAGGAAGGTACCAAGTAGCAAGCAGAGGGGGAAGTAGTTTGCTTCTGATTGATTAAGAAACCTGGCAAACCCAGAGAAGGTAGTGTAGTGTACCTGTTAGGACAGATAAGCCTTCAAGAACTGCTGGTAGATTCTGATCTACTGTTGGGGATCTATTGACCCCTTAGGTTCCTCTACTGTTGGGGATCTACTGACCCCTTAGGTTCCTCTATTATTGCGGATCTACTGACCCCTTAGGTTCCCTCCAGCTTAGCAAGTGTTATGATTCTGTGATAGGCTGGGCTGGCTTCTCCTTGAAGCTGGATTTTATTATTCCATTTTTTTTACCCTCTGGATGCTCATTCACTTCCACAATCCTGCCAGTCATTGTAACCAAAGTGCCCACGTAATTAATCATCTTTTGAAGAAATTGGAATATACGCAAGTAAGATCCAAATAACATCCCCAGTGACAAGAGGAAAATGTGAGTGGTTAAAATAAAAATTTTTTAAAAGCCTGACAAACATTTGAAGAAAAGGTTGGCATTTGAGGGGAGTGACTGAAAAGTTGAGAGGTTAGCTCCCCTTCAGCATTTCCCCTTTATTTGTTTTGATATGAGGTGCTGATTATAATCTATACAGCTCTATATGTGTGGACCTGTCCATAGTTCAAGTTCATCGCCCACTAGAAAAAGCTGTTCAACTGCCAGATTTCTCTACAAACTCTCGTACCCCTTCTCTGATGTTTTATATGGCTTTCTTTGATGGCCCCCCTTCCCATGCTTTCTTTGCCCCTTCTTGAGCTCTGCTTCTGTTGGATTCCAGCCCCAGGCTCCCTATCTTGTCCCATAGCTTCCCCACCCTTAGTGATCCATCACCCTTAGTTCAATATCCCTTCCCCCTTTTAAGGCATCAAATCTGAACTGGCAAGTTATATTGCTTTAAGCATTCTCTTCAGTGCTAGTGGGCCTCTGCCCGCCCACCTTTGCCCTCAGGGCTCCCCTTTTGTCCCTGTGTTTTTAAGGTGTCATCAACTTGTTAAGGGTCATAGAAGACAGAGTGGGAACACAGAGGCAGAGCTTTTGAAACAACCCCCAACCAGCATCTCCAGGTACACTTTTAATTGTGAGTGAGGGAAGGCCCACCTAGTAAGGCCTAAAATACCTTCCCCACTGGACATTCACCATTCAACAAGGATCAGACTCAGGACAGAGAAGGCCCCCAGAGTGGGGACCCCAGGCACAAAGCAAGCATGAAATTGAACTGACATAGATCTCTTTTAGCATGTGACCAGGTTTTAGGAAATCTCAACTTTGGAATCAGATTCTGTGTGGGTATTGTAAATAATTTTGCATCTGACAAAAAAGAAAAAAAAACAGAAGGAAAAAATGGATTAAAAAAACCAACCCAAATCTTGGAGGATTTGGGAGCCAATCAGAGACAGAGAACGGAGGACTCTGAGGGCAGAAAAACAACAAGAAACAGCAGGAGGTGACCTTCCTGGGTGCTGGAGGCAGCCAGGCCAAGTTCTCCCTGGAAAGACTGTTTTAGTTGGAAGCTGTTCTTCATTGTTGCATCGTGAATGTTACCAGAGTTTTGCTACATCAGATGTGACATCTCGTCTGTGTATTTGGCTTTAAAAAAAATGTGGGTTCCTTTAAAAAAAAATCATAGCAACTGTGACTGTATGATTAGCACACTGGAAAGTGGGGATCTTCTGTTTCCTCCTTTCAAACACAAATCTGTCTGGATAATCTGAACTTTTTTAAAACTTTAAAGATATTTTTAAGACATTTTCAGCTTTTTTTAAATTAAAAAAAAATCCACGAGAGACTGTTCCGAACAGGAATATTTGTATTTGAACAAGATTTTTGGCATGTAATTCAGTCTTGCAGTATACAAGCTTTGTGTATAAATGTTTGATGATATCTCTGTTTGTACTTGGCAAGTTTTTTTTTCTGTTTTGCTTTATAGATAATATGTATATCGATATTTTTAAGTCATCTTTGCTTTTCTTTTTTTTTAGAGAAGTTTGTAATCACCTTATAACAGATAAAAATAAACCTTTCCTTTATAAATCCAATGAGTCTTACAATTGTTGTAAAAAAATGGCATAACTTGCTTTCACTGGAAATCAGATTCTTAATAAGATAGCTATAACTCAGGGCTATAACTAGGACAGGATAACTGGGGCTTTGTCTAAGACGCCAGTATTTAGAGGATATGCACAACAACTTCAGCCTTTCCCATTTATTTGTTTGATAAGAGGGTATACTTTCTTCTCCTAGAGGCAGAATTCTGGGTGAGATTCCCCTCCCTCCCATCCCCTCCATTTCTCCCATTGCAAGGCCTAGCTATAAAAATTTCTAGTTAAGGCTCTGGCTTTTTCCCAGAATCATAGCCTTCCCCCTAGAGAGGCAGCATGAAGTTCTGTAGCAATGAGATTTTGGAATCAGAAGATTAATCTTACCTTAGCCACTTACCTGGATAACTCGTTAAGCACCAAGTATGTGCTACCATAAGAAAAGCCATAAAAAAAAGTCAATCTCCTCAAGTCTCAGTTTCCTCTTCAGTATAATGAGTCTTGGGACTAGACTCTTAAGGTTCCTTCTGGCTCTAAATTCCTTTAACTATAATAGTCTACATTCCTACAACACCTTAAGGTTAACAAAGTACTTTTCTCAAAGCATCCCTGTGAGTTAGGTAGATTTGGGGAGTGTTTAACCTGACCAAGGAAGAAACTAAATTGTCCAGAGTCAGCAGAGCCAAGACAGACCCCAATCCAGTGATCTTTTGGGCACATCGCCACTCTCAGATCTTGACGGGTGATGAATTAATGAGTGTACACCCATAAATCTCCTCCCTTAAAAAACAGAATTATTTTCATTTTGAGTCAAAGCCTTAGATTGATCTAGTTTATACTAGGGACAGAAGGTTGTCATTTGGGACTATGGTGGTGCTTATTCATGTATCTGTTTTGTTTGTTTCAAAGAAGCATTTTGGAAACCCGAGGCCACAGGAAGCAAACCTGATATAGCTCAGGAGCTTCCAGCCTTCAAAAATATCACAGACTTCCATTTCTTTGCAGGCATGCTCCTCGCCAAACCCCTGCCTCGTAGGAAGGCAAGCTTTCCACTTGATGGATAAGAAGCTGGGGCTCCCAGAGCAGGGTCACAGCTGGTCAGGATTTGGAGCCAAGACTCCTGCCCAGGTCCAGTGTCCTTTCCACTACACTGAGCTCCCAAAGGCAGCATGCCAATAATGGGAAAGGGCTTTCTTTCATGCAACAGGAAATTATAATCTTGGTACATAAGCATACACCCACATTGGCGTGTGGTGGCAGCCAGATTGTCTGTAGGAATTACTAGAAGAGACTAGGATGAGCAGTACGGTCCCAGGTGTAGTGGGAGGGAGAATGGGGAGGAGAAGGTAGAGGGGGAAGGGGGGAGAAAGCAGAGAAGGAAGGGGGGAGAAAGCAGAGGGGGATGGGGGAGAAAGCAGAGGGGGAGGGGGGAGAAAGCAGAGGGGGATGGGGGAGAAAGCAGAAGGGGATGGGGGAGAAAGCAGAGGGGGAGGGTTTCTTACTCTTTTTGGGGGTGGTGGGGTATTCTTAGGGTCAGTGACTTGACTAAGCTGTTCCTGCTTTCACTCCCTAATTTATCTGTGGGGCAGTGGAAATAATATGAGTTGTATAGTCAGGACTTGGGTTCAGATGCTGGCTTAATCTGTCATGACTTGTAGTAATAACCCACTTAATTTTAGTGGCTGCTGCTTCTGTATGAACTTAGTCACTTAATTTCTCTGGACCTCAGTTTCCTCTAAAGGATCAGACATCTTGAAGGTCTCTTCCAGAGTCAAAAATATGTCTTTCATAATAATTGATATTTATAATAGCACTTTAGGTTTGCAAAGTGCTTCGTACACACTAGTTTGAGACACTAACCTTGTGAGGAAGAATCCGTGAGGCAGGGGATTGTATCACTACTGGATTTCCCAGGCCTTCCTGCCTTCCAAAAATGTTGGCTTTCTTGGGAAAACTTGAGCGCCACCTATACACCACAGTGCCCTGGACCCAGCCAAAAAAGCAGGTGCCAAAACCCAACGGCCATTATCTGTAAAGTAAGAATGAATAAACCACAAAGAAGGATGAAAGCCTTGCCTGCCGCTTTTGAAAGGCTGCCAAGTCCCTGATCTGGGCTGAAGGTTGGCCCAGAGATGCTTTCAGAGGGAATCCATGGTCTAGATTTCAAAGGTGAGGCTAGAACTTTGGGCCTCAATGCCTTGGTGCAGAGGGAAGAATATTCAAGAAAAAAGGCCAGAGTTAGAATCTAAGCTCTCCTGCTAAGTAGTCATATGACCTCAGACGCATCATTTAGACTTCCTTGTGTTCTGGACCACTGTGGCCATCAGCCTGGTGAAGCCTACAGACCCCTTCTTAGAATCATATTTTTAAATGAATAAAATAAAATATGAAGGATTGAAAAGGAAATCAATTCTATTGAATTTCAATTTTCAAAATATTTTTAAAAAGCAGATTCACAGGCAGTTAGGTGGTACAGTGGATAGAGCACCAGCCCTAGAGTCAGGAGGACCTGAGTTCAAATCTGGCCTCAAACACTTGACACTAGCTGTGTGACCCTAGGCAAGTCATTTAACCCCAATTGCCTCACAAAAAAAAAAAAAAGGAAAGAATGAAAAGCAGGTTCACAGATTCCAGGTTAAGAAGACCTGGTCTTTCCCAGTCCTCGTGGAATGTCAAAGAAGGGACTTCAAAGGACATTGCACCCAATTCATCACTGAGGAGAATCGCCACTACCACACATCTGACTTTTCTGATAGTGCCTCTCTTTCTCTTGGTATCCTGCCATGTCTGGTCCCGCTCTGCAGAGTGGTGTCCTTGACTTGAAATCTTCCAGCAAGGGGAAATCTATGACCACCTGAAGCATCCCATTCCACTTTTGGATAGCTCTTCTTATTTAGAAGTTCTTCCTGACATCAAGCCTAAATTTGTCCCTCTGCAACGTGCGTCCTTTGCTTCTATCTCTGTCCACAGGGGCCAAAGGGAACAAAAATGAATCCCTCTTCTATGCGACAGCCAGCTATTAGATCCCTCCTTTTCTGTTCTCCAGACTTAAACATCCCTGGGTCGTTCAGCTGCTCCTCACAGAACATGGACTCAAGGTTCTTTGCCATCCTGGTATGTATTCTCTTTCTTTCTTTTTTTTTTTTTTTAGGAAATTGGGGTTAAGTGACTTGCCCAGGTCACATAGCCACTAAGTATCTGAGGTCAGACTAGAACTCAGGTCCTGATTCCAGGGCCGGTGCTCTATACGCTGTACCAGCTAGCTGCCCCTCTGGTTTCTATTCTCTAAACACCCCCCAACTATATTTTATCAATGTCATTCCAAGCTATGGTCTCCACATCAAAACATGGTACCCTAGATGTGGTCTGACCAGTAGAGAGCACAAAGAGACTATTGCCCCCTCTCCATAGCCCATCCCAGAGCTCTTTTCTTTTCCTAGTCTAAACCATTTCCTTCTAAACTGCTTGGACTTGGCTAAGGGGTAGAGGATGGAGGCAATGAACCTAAGGCCAGACTGGAAGGACAGAGGGATTCCATTTCTGCTCAACTGCTTTTCCAGAGTTGTGATACCAGGGTCTGTCATTCTGGAAGTGTTCCCCAGACTCCATTTCTTCCCTCCTTATACAGGGAGCCTGAATTTCAAAATCTGGCTGAGGGAGTGAGGACTCAGCAGTCAGGAGCCCTGGGTTTTAATCATAACTGTGAGCTTTTCCTTTGTGAGATAATGGGGAAGAAGGGCGGGGCAGAATGGCATTCTGGAAGATCTCTTCCAACTGTAATGGGAAATACTAAGCTCTTCTTCAATGCATCTCTCTGATAAAAGGATTACTGCTCTATCCCCACTACACCCTTAAAATGACACTAATGGCAAGAACAATGATAGCTTTTATAGTAGTGATTTAAGGTTTGCAAAGCACTTTTCATGTATTATCTTACTGAATCCTCACTCTAACCCTGGGAGGTAGGCACTATTATTATCCCCATTTTACAGATGATCAGGGATTCATTGACAGATTTACAGGAATCGTAGATTTTATGAGCAGATTTCTAGATTACAGGGATCATAGGTTTTGAGCTGGAAGGCCATGCAGTCTTATCACCTCATTTTATAGGTGAGGAAACTGAGGCCTAGAGGAAGGGAAGTGACTTGCTTAAGGTCACACAGCTGGTATGTGGCAGAATCAGGCAATCAGACTCAGATCCATCCGATTCCCCATCCTGTTCTCTTCTCCCAGCACCATGCCTTCTTTAAGACTTGGAGAAGGGTGAGGATAGTTTCCATAGCAATGGGTTCCTGGTGACCTGAGGTCTCTGTCCCAGCCACAGAGTAGTGTCCACCCTCCCCAACTCCAACTCTTACCTGAGTTGACATATGCATAAAGCTCGCGTTGGCATGAGGCATTTACCAAGACTCAGAGCAGGAATGTCCAACCTCTTCACAATGAGGAGCTAACCCTTCCTGCCCAGTTAGTGCAGGTGATAATTGGGAATCCTAACAACGGACCTAATGGTGGTGAAGGTATGGACAACAGATTGGCTACTTCCGGGCAGAAGCTTTTGGCCCAAGGCTCCACTCCGACTGGAAATATCTAGGGACATCTAGGGATGCCATGGTGGGGAGTATGACCAGAAGCTGTCTGTTAGTCAGCTAACCAGCTAGCATTTATGAAGCACTTCCTATGTACCAGGTTCCGAGACAGTCCTTGGCCTCAAGGAGCTCTCAGTCCAACGGAGGACACGACACACAAATGATTAAGTACAAACAAGATATATACAGGAGAAAATGGAGAGTCCATAGAGGGAAGGTGCTAAGATTAAGGATGACTTGAAAAGGCTTTGCACAGAAAGCGGACCATTAGCAAACACTTGAAGGAAGCCAGGGAAGCCAGAAGGTGGAGATGAGGAGAATAATCAGTGGAATGCTTGGAATGTAGAGTGTCACGTGCAAGGAATAGCAGTAAGGAGGCTAGTGTCACCAGATCCCACCTTACTTGGGACC